GGCGCCAGGAGCGCCTCCCGAGCCGTCGAGCAGCCAGGTGCGCAAGTGTGCAGCCGACGCAGCGCCCGCTGTGCAAGCTTCGGAAGCCGCCAGTGCTGCGGGGTTGGAGGCTACCTGTGTGAGTAGCGGAGGGCCAAAACTCACCCGTGGGCAGCAAGGCGCGCACACGCGCTCTCCGAGGTGCAGAGAGGCCTGCGTTTGTGTCTGCGTGTGATCTAGGGCAAGACATCCTGCCGCAAAGTGGTCTTTTAAGCATGCTGCACACCCGCGCAGAGTGGCAGGACTACCGAACCAAAATTCGGCTTGTGTGGAAAAACAGCACGCGCGTGGCGCTGCAAGTGCATTGCGCTGAGGACGCTGCGTGCCAATTTACTTGGCACTGCACGTACTTTTTGCAAAGCCTAGGTCACGCAGCTGGCACACTCTTGGTCACCAGTACAGGGGAGCACGACCACAACTCCAAACCAAAGGTTGGCAGCAGACAGGCAAGGCTGTGGACTCCGCGTCAAGAGGAAGACGCGAGGAAGTACGTGGACGCAGCAGAGGCACGGAAGCGCAGCGTGAAGCAGCTGCGAGAGCACATGTTGTCCAAAAACCATTTGGCAGATTCCCTTCCGACCTTGCCGCAAATGAGCACGTGGATGCGGAATTTCAACTGTCGGAAGAAGCAAAGCAAGAAAGTAGGGCAGCCGGCAGCCGCCGGGCGGGAAGTGGCTCCAACACAAGTTGCTTTGGATGACTGGCCGCGTGACGGCAGCGCGTCGGAAGACTTGTATGTGTTGGAGCCAAGAGTTGTGTCCTCCACGGAAGTGTTTGTGCCGTACACATGCAAAGGCATGCTGTCGACGCTGAGCCGATTTGTTGGGGGCGAGGTGAATTTGGCTGTTGACGCAAAGATGAAAGTCCTCAACGGCGGGGCAGGCGTGGCCACGTTGAGCTTGCTTGTTAAAGATGGGCTGCGAAGCACTGATGTGAACGCCGGCGCAGGCCGCGTGCAGGGAAAGGCTTTCACTACCCGAGCCATGCCTTTCCTGCAAGCCACGATGCACCAAGAAACGACGGCCAATTACTTACGTCTTTTTGCTGTAGCCGAGACGCTGTGGGCTCAGTGCTGCCCTTCCCAGCTGCCCGTCCGGCAGCTGCACAAAGATTTTGCCCCTGCCATCGAAGCTGCGCGAAGGGAAGCCTTCCCGAACAGCCGGCCCTGCGATGACTGGTTCCATTTCAAGCAGAACCGCCGCGAGCTCGTGCAAACATTTGGAGATGCGGGCGCTGCAAGGCCCACGCTGATTGGCTGATGTCGTGCTTGCAAGACATTCGTCTGGCCCCAACGCTCCCAATTTTTTCCTTGCTGTGGGAGGGCATGCTGCGCCGTCTGGATTTGTGGGGCGAGGATGTTGTGCGGGCGTGGCTGCAAGCTCAATACGCAGTGCCTGTGCCGTCTGTGCTCGTGTCCAAGAATCCAGCGTGGGCTGGGCGCAGCTTTGCTGCTTTCTGGGTTGGTGTTAAAGGTATCTGGCCTGGGTCCGGCAGTGGCAATGAGAGCGCGGAGGCGCTCCACTCCTCTTGGCAGCGCCAGCTAGCTGTGCTTGGCGGCAAGGGCGACGTGGTGACGAGTTTGCGCACAATGCAAGCGTTGTACCGTACGTGGAGTAGGTTTTACGGCTGGTGCGACCACAGCCCCTTGCAAGCGGTTCCCGCCAAAGTAGACCCGACTCTCTTGAACGGAACCACACTGGCGGTCCACCGCGTTCGATTTCTTTCAAGCGTTTGAGCTGCAGACCCTTTTCATGCAGGAGCCGGCCCAGGGCGGTGGTGTCCTTGTGGCGCTGCCTTTCTCACTACAGCAGCTGCCGCTCGACTCGTGGGCCGCCCAGCATGGCCTGAACACGCTCTTGGCAGAGGCAGAAGACACGCGGCGTTGCTTGGCAGAAGCGAACGTGCTGCAGGAAACCCTTGACGGCCAGCCCTTTGCCCAGATGTCGGCGTACAAGCGCGTCTTCAAGGATGTCGTGTATGTCTGGGTGACGGGGGCCAACCCGCTGCTCTGCACATGCCGCTTCTTTTCCTTGCATGCTCAGTGCGAGCACGCGCTCTTTGTGCGCACGCAGAGTTGGCCATGTCGGAAAGCAGACTTGTCTTTTGAAGACTTGCCGCGCAAGCGTAAGGCACAAAGGACCAGCAGCCAGCCGTAACAGCGCCTAGGGAGCAAGGGAGCAGAAAAAATGGAGCCTGCGCGTTGGGAGTGTGCTGAGACGGGCCAAAGTAAAGCTGTTGCGCAAAAGACGCGCGCAGTGTGTGTGTGTGTGTGTGTGTTGAGTGTGTGTGTGTGTGTGTGTGTGTGTGTGTGTGTGTGTGTGTGTGTGTGTGTGTGTGTGTGTGTGTGTGTGTGCGTGTGTGCGTGTGTGTGTGTGTGTGTGTGTGTGTGTGTGTGTGTGTGTGTGTGTGTGTGTGTGTGTGTGTGTGTGTGTGTGTGTGTGTGTGTGTTTGTGTGTTTGTGTGTTTGTGTGTTTGTGTGTTTGTGTGTGTGTGTGTGTGAGTGTGTGTGTGTGTGTGTGCGTGTGTGCGTCTGCAGTTGACTTGTGCTGCGCTCCCCGCCTTTGACGTGTGTGTGTGTGTGTGTGAAATGGGTTTGTTCTGTGCTCTCCGCCCTGTTGTGGAAGGTCGCCGTGGAAATGAGCCGAGGAGCGCGGGGAGGAGAGCTGGGCGCCGATGGAAGCGCTCCGCGAGAAGCGCGAGGCCCTGAGGCAGCGCCGCATTCGCGCGCGCGATGTCGCATCGCTGGCCCAGATCGAGAGGGAGCTCTTCGAGGTGGAGGAGCAGCTCGTCAGCAAGAAGATCGCTGAGCGGCTGCCGGTCTCGCTGGCTGCCAAGAGCGCAACCCTCGCTGCCTTGGAGCGGGTTGAGAAGGCGCGCAAGGAGCTGGACGAGGCCTCCAGAGAGCTCCTCACTGCGCTCAACCTGCAGGGCAGCACCGCCGACTCGCTGTGACGCGGCGCAGACAGAACAGAATCCCGGACAGAAAAAAAGACGCGCTCGTCCGACCGACTGAATATTTTATTATTTTTCTATAGAAAGCAATTTATTCAGCTCAAACCAATTCGCGCCATGATCTCCGAGCTGTCTGACCGCATCTTGGGCCGCCTGGGGCTCAGCGCTGTCCGGGCGGTACCTCTGGAGGAGCCGCGTGCGCCTAGCGCCGAGGCCGCTGTGACAGAACTGCGCCCGCGTGGGGCCGCTTGGACCCGCGAGCTGCGGCTGCGCCCTCTTCCCGGGCAGCAGGTCTTCACCATCGACACCATGCGGCTGCTGGTGGACCGGCTCCAAGACCTGCTTGCCATTCGGCTGCCCTTCCTCGTCAAGGTCAGCTTCCAGATCCTGCTGACGCGCCCGGCTGCAAACGATGAGGACGAGGACAGGGTGGAGCTCACGCACTACTACCTCAAGCTGGCGCCGTGGATCGTGAGGCCCGCGCCTCCGTCGGCCCGCGCCGGAACCATGATGGCGGCCATCAGGACTTCAAGCCTTCTGGGGTCATGTTCTTGAGGGCTTGATCGCGCGCCCACCCTGTCGAGCTTGGGGTGACGAGAGCTCAGCGTGCACACGCGTGTTGACCACTTGGCATGATAGCCTTTCCATCCTCGGATGGCTCCACGTCATCACTCAGTTGAAATTGCTCTAAGTAATGCAAGCATTTGCATTTTGCCACCATCAGCATACCTCCGGCACGTTTCACGTCCCAGTAGGAAACAAACCTACCGTGAAGGTTAAACACGCATTGTTGACCTGGGGGTCTGCATGCAGGCTGCGCACGGGATGCAGATGTTATGGGTCGGACACGCGTTGTCGATCCATCTGCATCCTGAGCCTGTCACCTCTGAGCAACGCCTGAAAAAGATAGCTAACCGCCGATTCGCACGTTGGCTTTTGTTTCGTCTCATGTCCCGGTTTGGCTTGAAGCAGTGAACAGGATTCTAACACATGTTTTATGGGGGGAACGAAGCGCAAAGATTGCATGAGCTGCAATGGATGAGTGTAAGTTTGGGCTAGAAGCAGTAAGGCTGCATAGTTGTTTGTTTGTTTACAACAAACAAACAACACGTTTCTGTGGTTTCCGGTGCCGACAGTCCTTGCGCGCAAAGCTCATTGCCCGCGAGCCTTTCAAATTTTAGGTATGCAGGGTGTTCAGTTTTCCATTAATTTTGGTGACAAAACCTTTTTTGACAACCCATTGTGCGGTGGGTTGCTGGTGCGTGGTCACGGCAATGTTGGATATTAACCCGTCAGCATAATACGTGTCGTTGCCCATGTCATCAATTTTGCAATTTTGAGCGTCATCCTTGCGCAGGGGCCATGTTAATCTTCTCTGTATTGTTCCAATTTTATCGGATGATCGCCGAAGCGAATGCAAAAAACGCAGCACAAACAAAAAACTTGTTACACTTCTCGATTTGTGCGTGTCATCCTTGCGCAGGCGCCATGCCAATCGTGTTGCAGACTTGATTGAACTTTCCGCTTGTCCGGGTTGCACTTGAGGACAGTAAAATGCATGGGCTAAAGGCTGACAACACATGAGTCATGAGTCATGACAGTTGGGCAATCTTCAACTATTAAACTCAGGAAATTCTCCAGGAGATCCTTGTTATTGGGCGGGTATTGGGCAAATTTCAGGCAAGACATCTTGTAGTTGGTTTTTATGAAGTATTGCGGCACACAATCCATGTTGCGGGCTGGTTTCATACTAGTTGGGCCAATTTGCTTGGTGCCTGTGAAATATTGTCGTCAGTATGTCACCACAAGCAAACAAAGTGCAATATGATGGAAATAAATCAACGCCGGCGACCAAAACAACAACAGCAGTAATAAACAACAGCAACAACATCAAGGCAGACAAAACAATTTTGGGATTTTAAGTTCCGTTTTTTGTTGTTGTTGATTCGTTATTTTGGATGACCGGATTGCTTTTGTTCCCATTGCCCCATTGCACATGTCGCTGCCGCAGTGTGTTGGGTCGAAGGGGAAGTTGTCCGCGATGATCGAGTGGTTCCCTTCGATTGGGAATGTGACTTGACTGGATGCGAACATTGCCACCCCGACACCCTGGTAACGTTCCCTGGTGAAGAAACGATTCACAGAGTTTGGGGGAAAAATGGATCGCGTTTGGCACGTTACTGATCGCTTTCTGGAACCCCGCTTTGCTTGGTGCGTGAAACACGAAAACATTGCTTGGGCAGGGGCAGATGTGGCAGATGAGGCTTCTACATTTGTCGATGTTTCGAAGCTTCACTTGGCGTTGCAAGGTGATGTAAATTGGTGGGTAACAATCATCCATGCCTGGTGCCTCCAAAATGAACTTGTATGTTGGGCTAGACCAAATGTGAAGCGGAAACTGAACATATTCTTTTCTTTGGTTCCTGCCATTTTGGATCCATGTACCTACCTGCATGTCATCCAAAACCAGTGGAGTTGCAGTCGGTAATCTTTAAGTTTGCTTTTCAGCTATGGGACGCAATGCGCTTGGAATGACAACATGTGTTGAACCCAACCCCCTGCCAACCCTAGGCGTTTTGCATTAGTTGTGTCGAATTCACATGAAATACCCCCTCGTGCTTGATGAAACAAACAAAAACTAACAGTGCGAGAGCAACTCTTACCACTCCAACTCTCGGGAAGCCATCCCTGGGAGGCTTATGACTTGAGTCTCTAAGCCAATCAAACTAGGGGGTTTTGCAACGTGGACAGGGTGGAAGGAGGGCAGCGGCAGCGCCTCAGGACTGGCGAGAAAAGAGACTCCGATGCGGGGCGGTTAAAGAGCATGAAGAGCTCCAAAACGGCGAAGAGCGGGAAGAGCGGCTCGTCGAGAGTTCTCGTTTTTTGTTTTGTTTTTCAATTTCAATGTCACAATGGGTGGGTGTTTTTTTGGGGAGTGGCACTTTCTTCAGTTTTTTTAGGGGGGATTTCAGGGGACACCACACCAACAAATCAATTCGACATCAACTGTGGTGGTCCCCCTATTTGAACACATGCGCATTTGACTTGGCCACGGTCAACACACCATTTTGCCGGGATTAGGGAGGGTCATGGAACTCTCTTTTCACGGCCCACATATAAGAAATTGCTGAACCATGGGTGTTTCTCACAACAGGAATCGGATCCAACATGGCAACGGCTTCCTTGTGGTTTCCCTTGACCGCGCAGAAGGGGCAACCAGGATGGGTGTGGGGCAACACCCATTTTGGGGGTACCCTATTTTTTAAACGAGACACTCATATGACCCGCCGTCGACAAAAACAATCGGGTAGAAGGTCAGGAGCAGTCCCTTTGCCGTAGATGTGGCAAAGTTTTTGGGTCTGGGTAGGATTGGACAGTGGTCGCAAACCTCTCCCCCCTCCAACAAATCCATGAGAGTTTCTCAAAACAGAACCTCCAAGATGCTTCTCTGACCATTCGGAGCCAAGATGTTTTTTTTTCTTTTCTAAGTGAGAGTTGAGAGTTGGGGGTTTGGCCCATGTGGTTTTACCTGTCAGGGAAACGCAAGAACAAGTTCCTTCGGGTCGGTTTCCTGTTGGCTTCCGTAGCCATCAAGAAAGATTCCCCGAGTTTGAGACAGACGCTTCGTGTTGGGAAGTTCATGTTGGTTTTCGCAGCTCGCAGCAGCTCTTCTTGATTGTCCGGAGGGACAGCCTTTGACAGCCCGGTACAAGCAAATAGGAAACATCGGCATGACAAGTGCTCAGAAGATCGAGAGATGGTAGCAACCTAATGTTAACCCCGGATCAATAAACCCCTGCTTGATTAATAGGGGGGATTCAGTCCACTTTTGGAGGGAACACCCCCTAATAATGGGACGGGTTTTGTAATCCTGGGTCAACATTACTCCCAAGATGTTGCGATGTTCAGCTGTAGCTGGGTCTTGGAACTTCTCGCCCTGTCTTTTCTCCATTCCAATTCAGCTACCTTATGGGGACCAAAGAAGACGACCATCCAAATCTTTTTCGGGGATATGTCAAACCTAGGGACCGCTTGGGAGCCAACATCAGGAGAGGTTCCAGCCTGTTTTGACACATCACATCATTTGTTTCTTCGCTCTTCAAAGCCGTCAGTTCTGTTTGGACGGTACTTCTTGGACCCTGATTCATAAATTCCTTGTTAACCATTGTTAATCATGCGTGTTTCCTTTAAGGATTGCTTTCTTGTGAGGGCGGCCCTCTAGAATCAGGTAGACATTCCTGAATCAGACGTCAACGTGACTCAATTTAATTGCCACCGTGGAATTCGTTGTTCATGTAAACACTTCAAGGCGTGACCTTGTGCCCTCTTCCAACCCATTGACATCACTGGCACACCAACCCTTGAGCTTGCTATGGTGTTTGTCTTTCTTGTTGGAAAATCTATCGCTGGTGGGTTTGCTATGAACAAAAGGGGGGGGGACTCCAATGTCTGGACTAGTTGATTTAGGGAAGCTTCCTGAAGACCACTGAAAATACTAAGTGTTCTTCTTCGTAAAACCATTTTGATACGACTCAGTGGCTGTGGCTTAGTTGATATGACATTATCCTGCCAGGCATGCTAAGCCTTTCTGGTCCAGTTTTCCGGTCAATCCTTGAGCATGTGTAAACTGAAAAGCAAGAAGACAGTCCATTGAATTCGGGAGTTTTCATCCAAAACCAATTGAGTCACAATCAAAACCCGGGTAATTAGAGGGTAGTAAGTGACAATCCCAACCAGAAATTGGAGCCTTCGCCGCCTTCTTAACTCTTTGCCTGGTTCTGGGTACCGATCGGTTTTGATTGTGACTGCTTTCTGGAGAGCTTTTCGAGGTTTTCTTTCAGTACTAGGGGACACCGGGGACGGGGGGGGGGGGAACTTCTTGACTGCTGCTGGGTTGGATCTTTAGACTTTAACTTTTTGGGGTTTTCCACTAAACCCCTAAAAAGTTAAACTGTTTGCAGGGGGGTCAACAGCAACCAAGACTTGGGTTTTAGTACTGATCGGTTTTGATTGCGACTGCTTTCTGGAGAGCCTTTCGAGGTTTTCTTTCAAAGTATTCAGTACTAGGGGACACGGGGACACTTCTTGACTGCTGGGCAACGGATGTTTAGACTTTAACTTTCTGGTTGAACTCAAGTTGGGTTTTCCACTACACCCTCAAGAAGTGAAGCTCACTTTTTGCAGGGGGGTCAACAGCAACCAAGACTTGGTTTTAGTCGCCCGAGGCGCGCGGAACTTCACGTCGCGGGCCGCTACGGGGAAGACGATCACGCGTCAGTTCTCGGTGAGCGCCCGGGTCCCGGGGTCCCAGGGTCCCGGGGTTCGAGTGAGGCCCCCCCAATGGAGCCTGGTTTTTTTGCCTGTGGGGATGGTAAATCTAGAATCTCGAGATTTAAATTATCGAAATTTCCAATTGTGGGTCCCCAAAGCCTCAGAATGTCCTCCGAAATGACCCAATATGATACCCTCTCCAAATAGGGTTTTGCTTCAACATAATTTAGTTAGGATATAGTTTTCAAAATATGTGTTTATGTTCTAATTGCAGCTTGAATAAGCAAATCCTTTCCAAATAGGAGCTACATGAAAATGTAAATTTAGTTTCGGGTAAACTCCAACTAATCTCTAACAAGAGAAATGGGATAGGAGTTTATTCCCAAATACAATCTAAGTGTGAAATGTAATCTAGTACGAGCACCATTCAATTAGCTTTTCAAAATAACAATCAAATAGAGGCTACTTCTCATATATAATTCATGATAAATATGGCTAAACATTTAAGGGATTTCTACAAGGCAATTCGAAATACGATTTTTGTGAAATTAACATTCTGGCCCCTTTCGTAGATAAGACAGGTCCAAAATTAAACTTGTTAGACGGTGTTCCAAAAGGAAGTGTCAAGGGAAGAGAGGTTCAAATTCTACAACTATCTCAAAACAGGGATTCTAGCTAAATCAGTTCTATTTAAAGCTCTATTTTTTGCACAGGAAAACAAAGTTCATTCTATCTCAAAAGGTGGAGGTAGTAGATGAGTAAGTGTGGACAGGTAGTTCGAGAGGGGGGGGGGGTGACGGTGTGTGAACATACATACATATGTATATATAATATATATATATATATATATATATACATACACACATATGTAGTAGCCTTAATGATCCTGCGCCTCTTTATAAAGTACTGTACAATGCAGTGTTTTGAGCATGACACCTACCTTTGTTTACCTCATGGAGAAGGGTCAACATGAGCATAGCTGACATGAAGCAACAGGCTCACCAAAAGCAATTGAAAGTTTGTCTAACTGATAACTTGAAAGTGTTTCCACGGGATCGCTAAGCACTTGAAAGCATTTTACCACTGGATGGAAGATTCAATATTGAAGCTTGCACAGAAAACTTTCCTGAGAATTGTCCATCCTGGCCAAACCCAAACAATCTTCGAATTCTTCTAGCACTTGAGGATTCACTATTGAGGATTGCCCAAAGAAGAACTTCCCTGAGAATCATCCATCCTGGTCAATCCCTAAACATGTTCAAGTTGTTCTAAAACCTCGAATGTATTTTACCACTGGATTGACGATTCGAGATTGAACTATTTCACGGAAAGCTTTTTCGAGAATCTTATTGAACACCGATAGTATTGGGACAACCCTTGTTTTTTTTTGTTCCTCTTTTTTTTCTTCTTCTCCATGTTTTGATTCAAGATTCGAGACTCTCAGAAACAACGTTTTCAGATTCTTGAATCTTGAATCTTGAATCCTTTATGTTCTTTTACAAATTCTGGGATTCAAGATTCAACATTCAAGATTCCAAGACAAAGTGTCTCAGATTCTTGAATCTTGAATCCAACAATTTTTACACACTTTGAAAACAATCTGAGTTGTTCTAATACTCTTGGATTCTGGATGCATTCAAACTCTTTCAGATTGCAGATGCTCATGTCATTGCGTTTATCACACATGTATGCATGAGTGCAAGTCATATACACATATAACACCCCCCTCAGTTTGACACAAAATGCAAGAAGCGAAAAATACCAACACGTAAAACTCTGGCACAAATACAGGTCAAACGCACCAAACCAGGGTCCATGGCGGGGTACCATATATATATATATATGTTGGTAGGAAAGTGGTGCGCAAAAGAACTCTCTCATTTTTTTGTTGGGAGCTGGCCGCGTTTGATTTTTGTTTTTAATCCTTGGAAACAGGGCTCGGCTCGGCTTAGCCAGCAGAGACTCGAGCCAGGCGTTTGTGCGTTGCTCTAGGCAAACAAATCTGAGGCGACTCACTAGCCTTTGAGTGATGGTCTCGAGGCCCCTCGGTCTACTCACCAGATATATAGATGTCCAGCCAGTAAGCCAGTCGCGAGCTGTGGGAAGATTGGCTGACTGCAGCTCGAAGCTTCGGTTCACTCCGAGAAGCTTAGTAGAAGACTTGAAGTCGACACAGGTTGATCTCAACTTTCCCTTGCAGAGCTGCAGAAGGGGAAGCTTTCTTTTTTTAAATTAATAATAATAATAAATCTTCAGTATTTGTTTTTCTGGCTTTGGGGCTCGTGATCTCGGCGCTCGCCAGTGATATTTTGATCATTTTGGCTGGTCACTCAGCGTCACATTTTGGCAGAGCAAGTATTGGACGAGATTGTGGTTGAAGCGAAGCACGCACCCTTCCTGACAGAATGGCCCCTTGTAGGAGGAAGTTGATCTTCCTTCCAGGTTGCATGTTAGTGTGTCAGGGAGGATCGACCGCATTGTGGAAATTCGGCTTTTTGGTCCAGTTTCTATGATAGCAATGGAATCCCTTTGCAGTGATAGAATCGCCTGTCGGACGACAATAGTAGCTATGAATAATGACATCACGAAGCGTGATATTAGTACCAACATAACGAACATAGAACAGATAAGCATACTATATTGTAAGGATAGTGTCCCAACTAAATTCGTGACTTGCCATTCTGGGTGCACTTTAGTATCAACAAAAAAGACAAAACAAGAAGAATAACAAGACAAACAACAAGCAAACAACATAAAAAAGGAAGAAGAACAAGACAAACAACAAGCAAACAACATAAAAAGGAAGAAGAACAAGACAAACAACAAGCAAACAACATAAAAAAGGAAAAAGAACAAGACAAACAACAAGCAAACAACATAAAAAAAGGAAGAAGAACAAGACAAACAACAAGCAAACAACATAAAAAAGGAAGAAGAACAAGACAAACAACAAGCAAACAACATAAAAAAGGAAGAAGAACAAGACAAACAACAAGCAAACAACATAAAAAAGGAAGAATAACAAGACAAACAACAAGCAAACAACATAAAAAAGGAAGAAGAAAAAGACAAACAACAAGCAAGCAACATAAAAAAGGAAGAAGAAAAAGACAAACAACAAGCAAACAACATAAAAAAACGAAGAAGAACAAGACAAACAAGAAGCAAACAACATAAAAAAGGAAGAATAACAAGACAAACAACAAGCAAACAACATAAAAAAGGAAGAAGAACAAGACAAACAACAAGCAAACAACATAAAAAAAGGAAGAATAACAAGACAAACAACAAGAGCAAACAACATAAAAAAGGAAGAAGAAAAAGACAAACAACAAGCAAACAACATAAAAAAGGAAGAGTAACAAGACAAACAACAAGCAAGCAACATAAAAAAGGAAGAAGAACAAGACAAACAACAAGCAAACAACATAAAAAAGGAAGAAGAAAAAGACAAACAACAAGCAAACAACATAAAACATGAAGAATAACAAGACAAACAACAAGCAAGCAACATGAAAAAGGAAGAAGAAAAAGACAAACAACAAGCAAACAACATAAAAAAGGAAGAATAACAAGACAAACAACAAGCAAACAACATAAAAAAGGAAGAAGAAAAAGACAAACAACAAGCAAACAACATAAAAAGGGAAGAAGAACAAGACAAACAACAAGCAAACAACATAAAAAAGGAAGAATAAAAAGACAAACAACAAGCAAACAACATAAAAAAGCAAGAATAACAAGACAAACAACAAGCAAACAACATAAGAAAGGAAGAAGAACAAGACAAACAACAAGCAAACAACATAAAAAAGGACGAAGAACAAGACAAACAACAAGCAAACAACATAAAAAAGGAAGAAGAACAAGACAAACAACAAGCAAACAACATAAAAAAGGAAGAAGAAAAAGACAAACAACAAGCAACCAACATAAAAAAGGAAGAAGAACAAGACAAACAACAAGCAAACAACATAAAAAAGGAAGAAGAACAAGACAAACAACAAGCAAACACCATAAAAAGGAAGAAGAACAAGACAAACAACAAGCAAACAACATAAAAAAGGAAAAAGAACAAGACAAACAACAAGCAAACAACATAAAAAAAGGAAGAACGAGACAAACAACAAGCAAACAACATAAAAAAGGAAGAAGAACAAGACAAACAACAAGCAAACAACATAAAAAAGGAAGAAGAAAAAGACAAACAACAAGCAAACAACATAAAAATGGAAGAAGAACAAGACAAACAACAAGCAAACAACATAAAAAAGGACGAAGAAAAAGACAAACAACAAGCAACCAACATAAAAAAGGAAGAAGAACAAGACAAACAACAAGCAAACAACATAAAAAAGGAAGAAGAGAAAGACAAACAACAAGCAAACAACATAAAAAAGGAAGAAGAACAAGACAAACAACAAGCAGACAACATAAAGAAGGAAGAAGAAAAGACAAACAACAAGCAAACAACATAAAAAAGGAAGAAGAACAAGACAAACAACAAGCACACAACATAAAAAAGGAAGAAGAAAAAGACAAACAACAAGCAAACAACATAACAAAGGAAGAAGAAAAAGACAAACAACAAGCAAACAACATAAAAAAGGAAGAATAACAGGACAAACAACAAGCAAACAACATAAAAAAGGACGAAGAAAAAGACAAACAACAAGCAACCAACATAAAAAAGGAAGAAGAACAAGACAAACAACAAGCAAACAACATAAAAAAGGAAGAATAACAAGACAAACAACAAGCAAACAACATAAAAAAGGAAGAATAAAAAGACAAACAACAAGAAACAACATAAAAAAGGAAGAAGAACAAGACAAACAACAAGCAAACAACATCAAAAAGGAAGAAGAAAAAGACAAACAACAAGCAAACAACATAAAAAAGGAAGAATAACAAGACAAACAACAAGCAAACAACATAAAAAAGGAAGAAAAACAAGACAAACAACAAGCAAACAACATAAACAAGGAAGAAGAAAAAGACAAACAACAAGCAAACAACATAAAAAAGGAAGAAGAACAAGACAAACAACAAGCAAACAGCATAAAAAAGGAAGAAGAAAAAGACAAACAACAAGCAAACAACATAAAAAGGAAGAAGAACAAGACAAACAACAAGCAAACAACATAAAAAAGGAAGAAGAACAAGACAAACAACAAGCAAACAACATAAAAAAGGAAGAAGAACAAGACAAACAACAAGCAAACAACATAAAAAAGGAAGAAGAACAAGACAAACAACAAGCAAACAACATAAAAAGGAAGAAGAAAAAGACAATCAACAAGCAAACAACATAAAAAAGGAAGAATAACAAGACAAACAACAAGCAAACAACAAGCAAACAACATAAAAAAGGAAGAAGAAAAAAACAAGCAACAAGCAACCAACATAAACAAGGAAGAAGAAAAACAGACAAACAACAAGCAAACAACATAAAAAAGGAAGAATAAAAAGACAAACAACAAGCAAACAACATAAAAAAGGAAGAAGAACAAGACAAACAACAGGCAAACAACATAAAAAAGGAAGAAGAAAAAGACAAACAACAAGCAAACAACATAAAAAAGGAAGAAGAAAAAGACAAACAACAAGCAAACAACATAAAAAAGGAAGAAGAAAAAGACAAACAACAAGCAACAACATAAAAAAGAAGAAGAACAAGACAAACAACAAGCAAACAACATAAAAAAGGAAGAAGAAAAAGACAAACAACAAGCAAACAACATAAAAAAGGAAGAAGAAAAATACAAACAACAAGCAAACAACATAAAAAGGGAAGAAGAACAAGACAAACAACAAGCAAACAACATAAAAAAGGAAGAAGAAAAAGACAAACAACAAGCAAACAACATAAAAAAGGAAGAAGAAAAATACAAACAACAAGCAAACAACATAAAAAGGGAAGAAGAACAAGACAAACAACAAGCAAACAACATAAAAAAGGAAGAAGAAAAAGACAAACAACAAGCAAACAACATAAAAAAGGAAGAAGAAAAATACAAACAACAAGCAAACAACATAAAAAGGGAAGAAGAACAAGACAAACAACAAGCAAACAACATAAAAAAGGAAGAATAAAAAGACAAACAACAAGCAAACAACATAAAAAAGGAAGAAGAAAAAGACAAACAACAAGCAAACAACACAAAAATGGAAGAATAACAAGACAAACAACAAGCAAACAACATAAAAAAGGAAGAATAACAAGACAAAGAACAAGCAATCAACATAAACAAGGAAGAAGAAAAAGACAAACAACAAGCAAACAACATAAAAAAGGAAGAAGAAAAAGACAAACAACAAGCAAACAACATAAAAAGGGAAGAAGAACAAGACAAACAACAAGCAAACAACATAAAAAAGGAAGAATAACAAGACAAACAACAAGCAAACAACATAAAAAAGGAAGAATAAAAAGACAAACAACAAGCAAACAACATAAAAATGGAAGAAGAAAAAGACAAACAACAAGCAAACAACATAAAAAAGGAAGAATAACAAGACAAACAACAAGCAAACAACATAAAAAAGGAAGAAGAACAAGACAAACAACAAGCAAACAACATAAAAAAGGAATAATAAAAAGACAATCAACAAGCAAACAACATAAAAAAGGAAGAATAAAAAGACAAACAACAAGCAAACAACACAAAAAAGGAAGAATAACAAGACAAACAACAAGCAAACAACATAAAAAAGGAAGAATAAAAAGACAAAGAACAAGCAATCAACATAAACAAGGAAGAAGAAAAAGACAAACAACAAGCAAACAACATAAAAAAGGAAGAAGAAAAAGACAAAAACAAAAAGCAAACAAACAAACACATGCTTGGTAACTTCCTTCCTGCGTACTGCTTTTTGCATTGGGAGGTCTACACAGAGCGAGACCTGGAGATGATGGGCGACAGCCGGATCGCGGGCATTGCGTACAGCAGCTGGACGTGAAGATGGATCCACCAACATGGCAGTTGACAGGGACCCGGTCCCTTCAAGAGGAAATTCATCTTTCAGGTGCCTCCCCATAGGTGCCATGCTAGTGGGAGGGAGGGTACATTGATACAAAAACTCACATGGAACCCAAAAGGGCCGTCCTTGCCTTTTGAGGGACAGCATGTTATTTATTTTGCAGGGGAGTAGCCCCTCCAGATTTCGTGCGCGTGGACGCAGATGGCTCGATTTTGCGTGGGCAAGTACAGGGGATGATTGAGTCAAGAAAATGCAATTGCGGCATCTGCTTTCACCCAAGTAACAACAATCAGGTTGCCCCAACGCGAGTCTCCTCTAAGAATTGCGGTTTTGTTTGGGTTCCATGATAATGTGCAGGAGAGCATGTTGCAGAATTCGGTCGGGCTGGTGCAAAATGAATCAGTTGTCTCGGCTTTGTCGCTTGCTCTTCCCGGAAACTCCAAGAAGCCTCATCCATTCTCACTGAGTTTGGGTGCACTGTTGACCAGGTGCAAACCTGATTGCTTACATTTGAGCTTGTCCCAAAATTCGGGACCTAGGAAATGGTTGGCTTCTTTGTGGTTTAACTAAGCCAACCACCAGGAGGCTCCGCCAAGAAAAGGTGCACCCATTTCAGTGAATCTGCAGTGGGACATGTGGAGATAGGACCCCCCATCCCCCTGCCAGTTCTTGACACCCTAACCGCAGAGCCCCTGCCTCTGAGCCCATGATCTTGGCTTTCAAGGTCAGCGCTTCTTGCGTTTGCTTGGGCGTTGATAGGGCCAACGGGAGGCCTTTTGGTCCAACCAAGACCCTGCCTGACCGTTGGCCTTCGGATTTCGCACTTCGCTCGGATTTTGCCGGCCGAGGCACCTGCTTTCTCACCCTCACCATCTTTATCATCGCGCCCTGGCTGGGGGCGAAATCTTTATTCCGCAATGCGCTGGAAGTGAGAAGGGAAGGGTTGAACAACCACCTCATCGCTTCCGGTGAGTTGAAAGAGATCTCATGGGTCAAAACCCCGTACCCCCAGTGAACATCCCAATCCCGGCTAAAATAGGTTCTAAAATGGGTGGCGCACCTACCCCAAAATGGTGCCATTGGTTTTGACCCACAGCCCTTTCTCCATGGCCATGAACTTTTTTGAACGTGGACGCGACATGCGGTTAGCTTGCTAGATCGAAGTTCCTTAGGATCTCATCCAGAGGCAGAGGACGTGCGTCGAACGGCCTTCATCTTTTTTTGCTTTTGGCTCTCCATCCCTTCTTTGTGCACCCGACATGCGGAATTGGGGCCTTCCTTACGGTTGCAGAAAGGAGCCAAGGTACCTGAAAGGGGCATGTTCCGCACAACACCTGTCTAAGAAGACCAGTTTGGCGACGGCCACTGCTTCACGGGAAAGAAGATGGATATGGACTGGAATGAATGCTAGGTGGTAGGATGACAGGGTTATCAGGTAGTGGCTACACTTTGGGTGTCTTTTTCTTACGCCAATGGCACAGCCAATCCCAACCACCAGTGAACAAGCTTAACCTCCTTGGTCTGAATTGTTTTTCATTTTCATGCTCTAGCTCATTGGATTTGATTTTTTGTTTCTTCATCTTACAGGACAACATGCCCCGAACTTCAGATTCCTTGTCATTGGTAGGTGTTTAGCTCATCCGGGGATTCTTTCGTCACCTCGCTGGTTGGAGGGAGCTGATCCGAAATGTATCGAGAAACCCGCGCGCCAATTCCTTCACAGGTTCCACCAGCGAGCTGTTTAAGCAATCCTCGTCTCAACTTGGGCGCACCAAGAATGTCTTTTTCTTCTTTCTTTCTTTGGCTTCCCTTGCGAACCGTTCGAAACCAAAAAAAACAAGAATGTGTTTTTTCTCCCCCTTTGGCTTCCCTTTTACAAAAGCCGTTCCAAAAAAGCCGGGGCAGGCGTTTGACTCGGCCCTTTCGATGGCCTTTGCCGCCGATTTCTTCGCCGCGTCGCCGGCGACCGAGGTGTGCAACGCCATTTGGATGCTGATCGACGTGGAGTGGAACCACCCAGCCTTGGGCGGCGGCCTGAGCGAGCTCTGAGAGCTCCATGAGACGCGGCGGTCTGAGAGTCTGAGAGTGCCATGTGACCAGGAGGGTTATATACCATATGGCTGTGGCTCAAAAGGCCGGTATGAAAATGGAACCCTGGTAAGTGGAAACATGGACCAAAACCTGCGTAACCCCCCTATTCATTTTGAGCCACACCCATATGTTTTCTAGAATTGATACATGTGGCTGTGGGTCA